CTATCTTCTTCCTCTGTGAAGTAACTCAGAGAATCATTAGAAATCTTCTCCAGTTGTTCAACCAGGATTTGAAGAACTTTATCCTCAGTCTCCTCCACCCTCTTCTCCTGGTGTGACGTTGACATCTCACCTTCCCGAGCTTTCTTGAGCTTCTTTTTAGTCATCATTTTACTCGCCTTTTTGGAGCACTTTTTGAGAATCGCCTTCAAGTGTCGAGTCAGTTTGATTAGATAAGTGGGAGGGGGCTTGTGCTCCTCCGTGACGTCAGTGTCACTTGTTTTAGACAGCCTGGAGTTTACTTTCTCTGTGACTGCTGTGACCATGACATCTGTCATCTGCTCGCACTGAAGGTAGTGGATGTCACCTACACCCTGAATTTCTGCCACAGTCTGTGTGATGACTTCACCCATGTTACCTAAACATTCATGCACGTCCTCCTTACACACAGATGTAGCAGATCCTTTCCGTTTTTTAAATCTCCTGCTTAAAGACTCATAGAGACTTTCAGCCAAAACTTCAACTATAGTGACACACAAATCTGTCACAAGAGAGGCGGTTTCTGGGTCAATAAACCCAGTCTCCAGTCTGTTCCAGTTTTGCGCCGTCAGCCGTTCTAAGACCTCACGGATGACTGGCTTTAAGGTCTCTTTGGATGCCAGCTGAAACTTCTGTTCCACCCTCTGTGGTGTGCTGTTGAGACTCATAGCTGTGTTTGTGTTTGTTAGTTGTTTTGAAAACAAAGATTGTGTTTGAGCAATGATCTTGAAGCAAGGTCCAATTTGGTTTTCTTCTCCTTGGTGCGGTCAATAAATGCTTTTCATGCTGCCCTACCTTGAAGTAGCTCTGATGGCATCAAAGCTCTGATGACATCAGAGCTTAGATGTCATCACAGTGATGACATCACAGTGATGTTGCCAAGGTAAAGGGGAACTCCACCTGGAATTCCCTGTTACTATGGCAACAGATCACAACTAAATTCTGCCACACCCTAAGGCTGTGTTGGAAATGAATCACTCAATCCCCAAAGGTCCTTTCACACCAGGACTGTTTTTGTCATGCGATTATTTCGGACGTCAATATTTTTTTTCGAACCTGTATCCTGTCAATACAAGCGTTCACATCAGCGACGTTTTCCCGTCCTGCGATATTGCGGCATTAATTTTTTCGGATCATGGTCGATTTTTCTTAAGTTTCGCATTCTGTGTGTCCACTTCTGACCAATCAGATTGCGTGTTGTTGCGACGTCTGATTCACCGTTATATCCAACATGGCCGACCGGCTGATCGTTTACGTGTCGAAGAACAGAGTGATTTTTGATTGTCAAAAATTGTCACAATGTTTTTGGCAGAGCAGACTCTCCAATTATTGGTTCCTACAGTCAAAGTTAGGAGAAAAAACACAAATAAACAGTATGGCAGACCATGACAGGTTCAACCCATTTTTTAGACTTTGGCTCGAACCCGTTGGCAACCAAAGTACAGACTGACTGAAAGGGGACAACACAGACTCACAAAGGCTACTGATAGCATGGTTAGCAGAGGATGGTTTCGATCCATCGACCTCTGGGTTATAGGCCCAGTACGCTTCCACTGCGCCACTCTGCTATTTTATTTTGTGAGTGTGTGTGTATGTGTGTGTGTGTGTGTGAGATGATGTTTTTTTTTTTTTTTAAGAATTTATTCTTGTGTTGGGAGAAACCGAAGCACTCGGAGTAAACCCATTCGTGGATGGCCATGTATGGACCTGAAGTCTGTCCTCATATCTATCCAGGACTTCATGCGCTACTAGTTGAAGTGAGGCTGGAAGCCCAGAGAGTCCAAGCTGGATATGAGGAAAGTCTACATGTACCCACCCACCCAAACCCTGATGTTTCTAGCAACAGTTAAAGAGGGCAGTGAAAGGCCGGAATACACATCTCAAGACCTTTTGGATGCCGCTGGGTCTTGGTGGTGAAAAATGCTTTTTAGAGCCTCAGCCGCAGCCTCAATGACTGTTTCTTTCTGCTGTAAAAGACTTATCCAAAGAACTCCGCCACCAACCTTCTTGCGTAGGTCTTTGTACACAGCTTTGCATTTCTTTTCTATGCTTTTCAGGCTCAAATCAACATTAATGTCAGTACCAATCATCTTTTCAATCAGCATGTCTGACAGTCTGGCTTCCACTGATTTGTAATCCACATGGGGGCGGAAATCCTTCATGACTTTGCGTAAGAACACCTTTACGATGATTTCACAAGACAGTCGGTCCCACTTCTTTTTAACAGACTCCGTGTATTCACATGATGCTTTTGCCACCTGAGCCTGTTCTACTTGCTCCTCAGCTGTGTAGGCCTCTTCTTCCTTCTCCTCAACTAAGCAGGCCTCTTCTTCCTCCTCCTCATCTTGGCAGGCCTCTTCTTCTTCCTTCTCAGCTTTGAGGCTTTGAACCTTCTCTTGTACAGTTGTGGGGCAGGTCTGATCCTCAGCTTCAGTTTTGGGGGAACTGAGATGTGAATATTTAATGAGCACAACTTCCTTGACCTGTCTCAGAGTCACGCTCACACTGTCCTCCCTAGTCTTGTGCAGTCGGATCTGCTTCTTTAGCCAATTCCTTATCCGTTTAATGACATTGGCTACTTCAGTCTGAATCTCCTCTTCGTATGTTTCTTCTTGGACTCCTAGTGGTGTCAAGTGGTCGTCCAATGTGTCATGCAGCTTCTCAGCAAAACTTTCCAGCTTGCCGTGGGAAATGTTGCTGACAAGAGTCTCAAAGAGGCAAACCTCTCTTGACCCACTTCTTGTATCCTGATCGTTTTGTGTAATGACCTCTGATAAAAGGTTATCCACACTCTTAATCAGCTGTGATGTGTCTAATTCCACAACTTCCTGTCCTTGATGGGAGGCCTGCTTGCGTCTGACTTTACACATCATGCTCAGGATTGACCCTCGAGCAAATGTTTGGACAAAGACAGTCCTCATCCTGTTGATGACCTTTCTCCTGTTGTGTATTAAGGTCTCTTCTGTGTATGATTGTTTCTCTCCAACCAGGTCCTGTGAAGCCTCATTTGAAAAAGCTTCTACAATCCGAAATGATAACTCTGATAACTCTGAGTCCTTGCTGGTTTTAGAAAGAAGCAGGCTATCTTCTTCCTCTGTGAAGTAACTCAGAGAATCATTAGAAATCTTCTCCAGTTGTTCAACCAGGATTTGAAGAACTTTATCCTCAGTCTCCTCCACCCTCTTCTCCTGGTGTGACGTTGACATCTCACCTTCCCGAGCTTTCTTGAGCTTCTTTTTAGTCATCATTTTACTCGCCTTTTTGGAGCACTTTTTGAGAATCGCCTTCAAGTGTCGAGTCAGTTTGATTAGATAAGTGGGAGGGGGCTTGTGCTCCTCCGTGACGTCAGTGTCACTTGTTTTAGACAGCCTGGAGTTTACTTTCTCTGTGACTGCTGTGACCATGACATCTGTCATCTGCTCGCACTGAAGGTAGTGGATGTCACCTACACCCTGAATTTCTGCCACAGTCTGTGTGATGACTTCACCCATGTTACCTAAACATTCATGCACGTCCTCCTTACACACAGATGTAGCAGATCCTTTCCGTTTTTTAAATCTCCTGCTTAAAGACTCATAGAGACTTTCAGCCAAAACTTCAACTATAGTGACACACAAATCTGTCACAAGAGAGGCGGTTTCTGGGTCAATAAACCCAGTCTCCAGTCTGTTCCAGTTTTGCGCCGTCAGCCGTTCTAAGACCTCACGGATGACTGGCTTTAAGGTCTCTTTGGATGCCAGCTGAAACTTCTGTTCCACCCTCTGTGGTGTGCTGTTGAGACTCATAGCTGTGTTTGTGTTTGTTAGTTGTTTTGAAAACAAAGATTGTGTTTGAGCAATGATCTTGAAGCAAGGTCCAATTTGGTTTTCTTCTCCTTGGTGCGGTCAATAAATGCTTTTCATGCTGCCCTACCTTGAAGTAGCTCTGATGGCATCAAAGCTCTGATGACATCAGAGCTTAGATGTCATCACAGTGATGACATCACAGTGATGTTGCCAAGGTAAAGGGGAACTCCACCTGGAATTCCCTGTTACTATGGCAACAGATCACAACTAAATTCTGCCACACCCTAAGGCTGTGTTGGAAATGAATCACTCAATCCCCAAAGGTCCTTTCACACCAGGACTGTTTTTGTCATGCGATTATTTCGGACGTCAATATTTTTTTTCGAACCTGTATCCTGTCAATACAAGCGTTCACATCAGCGACGTTTTCCCGTCCTGCGATATTGCGGCATTAATTTTTTCGGATCATGGTCGATTTTTCTTAAGTTTCGCATTCTGTGTGTCCACTTCTGACCAATCAGATTGCGTGTTGTTGCGACGTCTGATTCACCGTTATATCCAACATGGCCGACCGGCTGATCGTTTACGTGTCGAAGAACAGAGTGATTTTTGATTGTCAAAAATTGTCACAATGTTTTTGGCAGAGCAGACTCTCCAATTATTGGTTCCTACAGTCAAAGTTAGGAGAAAAAACACAAATAAACAGTATGGCAGACCATGACAGGTTCAACCCATTTTTTAGACTTTGGCTCGAACCCGTTGGCAACCAAAGTACAGACTGACTGAAAGGGGACAACACAGACTCACAAAGGGCTACTGATAGCATGGTTAGCAGAGGATGGTTTCGATCCATCGACCTCTGGGTTATAGGCCCAGTACGCTTCCACTGCGCCACTCTGCTATTTTATTTTGTGAGTGTGTGTGTGTGTGTGTGTGTGTGTGTGTGTGTGTGTGAGATGATGTTTTTTTTTTTTTTTAAGAATTTATTCTTGTGTTGGGAGAAACCGAAGCACTCGGAGTAAACCCATTCGTGGATGGCCATGTATGGACCTGAAGTCTGTCCTCATATCTATCCAGGACTTCATGCGCTACTAGTTGAAGTGAGGCTGGAAGCCCAGAGAGTCCAAGCTGGATATGAGGAAAGTCTACATGTACCCACCCACCCAAACCCTGATGTTTCTAGCAACAGTTAAAGAGGGCAGTGAAAGGCCGGAATACACATCTCAAGACCTTTTGGATGCCGCTGGGTCTTGGTGGTGAAAAATGCTTTTTTAGAGCCTCAGCCGCAGCCTCAATGACTGTTTCTTTCTGCTGTAAAAGACTTATCCAAAGAACTCCGCCACCAACCTTCTTGCGTAGGTCTTTGTACACAGCTTTGCATTTCTTTTCTATGCTTTTCAGGCTCAAATCAACATTAATGTCAGTACCAATCATCTTTTCAATCAGCATGTCTGACAGTCTGGCTTCCACTGATTTGTAATCCACATGGGGGCGGAAATCCTTCATGACTTTGCGTAAGAACACCTTTACGATGATTTCACAAGACAGTCGGTCCCACTTCTTTTTAACAGACTCCGTGTATTCACATGATGCTTTTGCCACCTGAGCCTGTTCTACTTGCTCCTCAGCTGTGTAGGCCTCTTCTTCCTTCTCCTCAACTAAGCAGGCCTCTTCTTCCTCCTCCTCATCTTGGCAGGCCTCTTCTTCTTCCTTCTCAGCTTTGAGGCTTTGAACCTTCTCTTGTACAGTTGTGGGGCAGGTCTGATCCTCAGCTTCAGTTTTGGGGGAACTGAGATGTGAATATTTAATGAGCACAACTTCCTTGACCTGTCTCAGAGTCACGCTCACACTGTCCTCCCTAGTCTTGTGCAGTCGGATCTGCTTCTTTAGCCAATTCCTTATCCGTTTAATGACATTGGCTACTTCAGTCTGAATCTCCTCTTCGTATGTTTCTTCTTGGACTCCTAGTGGTGTCAAGTGGTCGTCCAATGTGTCATGCAGCTTCTCAGCAAAACTTTCCAGCTTGCCGTGGGAAATGTTGCTGACAAGAGTCTCAAAGAGGCAAACCTCTCTTGACCCACTTCTTGTATCCTGATCGTTTTGTGTAATGACCTCTGATAAAAGGTTATCCACACTCTTAATCAGCTGTGATGTGTCTAATTCCACAACTTCCTGTCCTTGATGGGAGGCCTGCTTGCGTCTGACTTTACACATCATGCTCAGGATTGACCCTCGAGCAAATGTTTGGACAAAGACAGTCCTCATCCTGTTGATGACCTTTCTCCTGTTGTGTATTAAGGTCTCTTCTGTGTATGATTGTTTCTCTCCAACCAGGTCCTGTGAAGCCTCATTTGAAAAAGCTTCTACAATCCGAAATGATAACTCTGATAACTCTGAGTCCTTGCTGGTTTTAGAAAGAAGCAGGCTATCTTCTTCCTCTGTGAAGTAACTCAGAGAATCATTAGAAATCTTCTCCAGTTGTTCAACCAGGATTTGAAGAACTTTATCCTCAGTCTCCTCCACCCTCTTCTCCTGGTGTGACGTTGACATCTCACCTTCCCGAGCTTTCTTGAGCTTCTTTTTAGTCATCATTTTACTCGCCTTTTTGGAGCACTTTTTGAGAATCGCCTTCAAGTGTCGAGTCAGTTTGATTAGATAGGTGGGAGGGGCTTGTGCTCCTCCGTGACGTCAGTGTCACTTGTTTTAGACAGCCTGGAGTTTACTTTCTCTGTGACTGCTGTGACCATGACATCTGTCATCTGCTCGCACTGAAGGTAGTGGATGTCACCTACACCCTGTATTTCTGCCACAGTCTGTGTGATGACTTCACCCATGTTACCTAAACATTCATGCACGTCCTCCTTACACACAGATGTAGCAGATCCTTTCCGTTTTTTAAATCTCCTGCTTAAAGACTCATAGAGACTTTCAGCCAAAACTTCAACTATAGTGACACACAAATCTGTCACAAGAGAGGCGGTTTCTGGGTCAATAAACCCAGTCTCCAGTCTGTTCCAGTTTTGCGCCGTCAGCCGTTCTAAGACCTCACGGATGACTGGCTTTAAGGTCTCTTTGGATGCCAGCTGAAACTTCTGTTCCACCCTCTGTGGTGTGCTGTTGAGACTCATAGCTGTGTTTGTGTTTGTTAGTTGTTTTGAAAACAAAGATTGTGTTTGAGCAATGATCTTGAAGCAAGGTCCAATTTGGTTTTCTTCTCCTTGGTGCGGTCAATAAATGCTTTTCATGCTGCCCTACCTTGAAGTAGCTCTGATGGCATCAAAGCTCTGATGACATCAGAGCTTAGATGTCATCACAGTGATGACATCACAGTGATGTTGCCAAGGTAAAGGGGAACTCCACCTGGAATTCCCTGTTACTATGGCAACAGATCACAACTAAATTCTGCCACACCCTAAGGCTGTGTTGGAAATGAATCACTCAATCCCCAAAGGTCCTTTCACACCAGGACTGTTTTTGTCATGCGATTATTTCGGACGTCAATATTTTTTTTCGAACCTGTATCCTGTCAATACAAGCGTTCACATCAGCGACGTTTTCCCGTCCTGCGATATTGCGGCATTAATTTTTTCGGATCATGGTCGATTTTTCTTAAGTTTCACATTCTGTGTGTCCACTTCTGACCAATCAGATTGCGTGTTGTTGCGACGTCTGATTCACCGTTATATCCAACATGGCCGACCGGCTGATCGTTTACGTGTCGAAGAACAGAGTGATTTTTGATTGTCAAAAATTGTCACAATGTTTTTGGCAGAGCAGACTCTCCAATTATTGGTTCCTACAGTCAAAGTTAGGAGAAAAAACACAAATAAACAGTATGGCAGACCATGACAGGTTCAACCCATTTTTAGACTTTGGCTCGAACCCGTTGGCAACCAAAGTACAGACTGACTGAAAGGGGACAACACAGACTCACAAAGGGCTACTGATAGCATGGTTAGCAGAGGATGGTTTCGATCCATCGACCTCTGGGTTATAGGCCCAGTACGCTTCCACTGCGCCACTCTGCTATTTTATTTTGTGAGTGTGTGTGTATGTGTGTGTGTGTGTGTGAGATGATGTTTTTTTTTTTTTTTTAAGAATTTATTCTTGTGTTGGGAGAAACCGAAGCACTCGGAGTAAACCCATTCGTGGATGGCCATGTATGGACCTGAAGTCTGTCCTCATATCTATCCAGGACTTCATGCGCTACTAGTTGAAGTGAGGCTGGAAGCCCAGAGAGTCCAAGCTGGATATGAGGAAAGTCTACATGTACCCACCCACCCAAACCCTGATGTTTCTAGCAACAGTTAAAGAGGGCAGTGAAAGGCCGGAATACACATCTCAAGACCTTTTGGATGCCGCTGGGTCTTGGTGGTGAAAAATGCTTTTTTAGAGCCTCAGCCGCAGCCTCAATGACTGTTTCTTTCTGCTGTAAAAGACTTATCCAAAGAACTCCGCCACCAACCTTCTTGCGTAGGTCTTTGTACACAGCTTTGCATTTCTTTTCTATGCTTTTCAGGCTCAAATCAACATTAATGTCAGTACCAATCATCTTTTCAATCAGCATGTCTGACAGTCTGGCTTCCACTGATTTGTAATCCACATGGGGGCGGAAATCCTTCATGACTTTGCGTAAGAACACCTTTACGATGATTTCACAAGACAGTCGGTCCCACTTCTTTTTAACAGACTCCGTGTATTCACATGATGCTTTTGCCACCTGAGCCTGTTCTACTTGCTCCTCAGCTGTGTAGGCCTCTTCTTCCTTCTCCTCAACTAAGCAGGCCTCTTCTTCCTCCTCCTCATCTTGGCAGGCCTCTTCTTCTTCCTTCTCAGCTTTGAGGCTTTGAACCTTCTCTTGTACAGTTGTGGGGCAGGTCTGATCCTCAGCTTCAGTTTTGGGGGAACTGAGATGTGAATATTTAATGAGCACAACTTCCTTGACCTGTCTCAGAGTCACGCTCACACTGTCCTCCCTAGTCTTGTGCAGTCGGATCTGCTTCTTTAGCCAATTCCTTATCCGTTTAATGACATTGGCTACTTCAGTCTGAATCTCCTCTTCGTATGTTTCTTCTTGGACTCCTAGTGGTGTCAAGTGGTCGTCCAATGTGTCATGCAGCTTCTCAGCAAAACTTTCCAGCTTGCCGTGGGAAATGTTGCTGACAAGAGTCTCAAAGAGGCAAACCTCTCTTGACCCACTTCTTGTATCCTGATCGTTTTGTGTAATGACCTCTGATAAAAGGTTATCCACACTCTTAATCAGCTGTGATGTGTCTAATTCCACAACTTCCTGTCCTTGATGGGAGGCCTGCTTGCGTCTGACTTTACACATCATGCTCAGGATTGACCCTCGAGCAAATGTTTGGACAAAGACAGTCCTCATCCTGTTGATGACCTTTCTCCTGTTGTGTATTAAGGTCTCTTCTGTGTATGATTGTTTCTCTCCAACCAGGTCCTGTGAAGCCTCATTTGAAAAAGCTTCTACAATCCGAAATGATAACTCTGATAACTCTGAGTCCTTGCTGGTTTTAGAAAGAAGCAGGCTATCTTCTTCCTCTGTGAAGTAACTCAGAGAATCATTAGAAATCTTCTCCAGTTGTTCAACCAGGATTTGAAGAACTTTATCCTCAGTCTCCTCCACCCTCTTCTCCTGGTGTGACGTTGACATCTCACCTTCCCGAGCTTTCTTGAGCTTCTTTTTAGTCATCATTTTACTCGCCTTTTTGGAGCACTTTTTGAGAATCGCCTTCAAGTGTCGAGTCAGTTTGATTAGATAAGTGGGAGGGGGCTTGTGCTCCTCCGTGACGTCAGTGTCACTTGTTTTAGACAGCCTGGAGTTTACTTTCTCTGTGACTGCTGTGACCATGACATCTGTCATCTGCTCGCACTGAAGGTAGTGGATGTCACCTACACCCTGAATTTCTGCCACAGTCTGTGTGATGACTTCACCCATGTTACCTAAACATTCATGCACGTCCTCCTTACACACAGATGTAGCAGATCCTTTCCGTTTTTTAAATCTCCTGCTTAAAGACTCATAGAGACTTTCAGCCAAAACTTCAACTATAGTGACACACAAATCTGTCACAAGAGAGGCGGTTTCTGGGTCAATAAACCCAGTCTCCAGTCTGTTCCAGTTTTGCGCCGTCAGCCGTTCTAAGACCTCACGGATGACTGGCTTTAAGGTCTCTTTGGATGCCAGCTGAAACTTCTGTTCCACCCTCTGTGGTGTGCTGTTGAGACTCATAGCTGTGTTTGTGTTTGTTAGTTGTTTTGAAAACAAAGATTGTGTTTGAGCAATGATCTTGAAGCAAGGTCCAATTTGGTTTTCTTCTCCTTGGTGCGGTCAATAAATGCTTTTCATGCTGCCCTACCTTGAAGTAGCTCTGATGGCATCAAAGCTCTGATGACATCAGAGCTTAGATGTCATCACAGTGATGACATCACAGTGATGTTGCCAAGGTAAAGGGGAACTCCACCTGGAATTCCCTGTTACTATGGCAACAGATCACAACTAAATTCTGCCACACCCTAAGGCTGTGTTGGAAATGAATCACTCAATCCCCAAAGGTCCTTTCACACCAGGACTGTTTTTGTCATGCGATTATTTCGGATGTCAATATTTTTTTTCGAACCTGTATCCTGTCAATACAAGCGTTCACATCAGCGACGTTTTCCCGTCCTGCGATATTGCGGCATTAATTTTTTCGGATCATGGTCGATTTTTCTTAAGTTTCGCATTCTGTGTGTCCACTTCTGACCAATCAGATTGCGTGTTGTTGTGACGTCTGATTCACCGTTATATCCAACATGGCCGACCGGCTGATCGTTTACGTGTCGAAGAACAGAGTGATTTTTGATTGTCAAAAATTGTCACAATGTTTTTGGCAGAGCAGACTCTCCAATTATTGGTTCCTACAGTCAAAGTTAGGAGAAAAAACACAAATAAACAGTATGGCAGACCATGACAGGTTCAACCCATTTTTTAGACTTTGGCTCGAACCCGTTGGCAACCAAAGTACAGACTGACTGAAAGGGGACAACACAGACTCACAAAGGGCTACTGATAGCATGGTTAGCAGAGGATGGTTTCGATCCATCGACCTCTGGGTTATAGGCCCAGTACGCTTCCACTGCGCCACTCTGCTATTTTATTTTGTGAGTGTGTGTGTATGTGTGTGTGTGTGTGTGAGATGATGTTTTTTTTTTTTTTTTTAAGAATTTATTCTTGTGTTGGGAGAAACCGAAGCACTCGGAGTAAACCCATTCGTGGATGGCCATGTATGGACCTGAAGTCTGTCCTCATATCTATCCAGGACTTCATGCGCTACTAGTTGAAGTGAGGCTGGAAGCCCAGAGAGTCCAAGCTGGATATGAGGAAAGTCTACATGTACCCACCCACCCAAACCCTGATGTTTCTAGCAACAGTTAAAGAGGGCAGTGAAAGGCCGGAATACACATCTCAAGACCTTTTGGATGCCGCTGGGTCTTGGTGGTGAAAAATGCTTTTTTAGAGCCTCAGCCGCAGCCTCAATGACTGTTTCTTTCTGCTGTAAAAGACTTATCCAAAGAACTCCGCCACCAACCTTCTTGCGTAGGTCTTTGTACACAGCTTTGCATTTCTTTTCTATGCTTTTCAGGCTCAAATCAACATTAATGTCAGTACCAATCATCTTTTCAATCAGCATGTCTGACAGTCTGGCTTCCACTGATTTGTAATCCACATGGGGGCGGAAATCCTTCATGACTTTGCGTAAGAACACCTTTACGATGATTTCACAAGACAGTCGGTCCCACTTCTTTTTAACAGACTCCGTGTATTCACATGATGCTTTTGCCACCTGAGCCTGTTCTACTTGCTCCTCAGCTGTGTAGGCCTCTTCTTCCTTCTCCTCAACTAAGCAGGCCTCTTCTTCCTCCTCCTCATCTTGGCAGGCCTCTTCTTCTTCCTTCTCAGCTTTGAGGCTTTGAACCTTCTCTTGTACAGTTGTGGGGCAGGTCTGATCCTCAGCTTCAGTTTTGGGGGAACTGAGATGTGAATATTTAATGAGCACAACTTCCTTGACCTGTCTCAGAGTCACGCTCACACTGTCCTCCCTAGTCTTGTGCAGTCGGATCTGCTTCTTTA